TCTGAATTTAATTTTGCGATGTTACAAGATTATCAATACACATTTGTTTCCCAATTTTATTCAAACGTCCTACGGCACTTTCATTTCACACAATTTAACGCATGAAATTGCACTTTTACGATATTATAAGATTCACGAGGAATGTGTTACAAATGATTTCGTTATAACTCACACACAACACACATATACAATTTAATTGTCTTAATGTAGACTGCGCTTTAGGGGCTGTGATTTCAGCAAGTAATTAAAAATAATTTATTTAAAATAGTTATATCAGCATAAACTAACTTATTCCATAGAAGCAAATTGTAAGAACTTGCTTGTATAATATAATTTCACTTTAAACTCCATTTGTACTTACGCCTGGATTGTAAATGTTATTTGTAATTTTTAACTATATTTCAGTTCTTTTTCATTTTAACACAAACTTCTTTTTGAAAACGAAATACTATTTTTTTTATCAAAAATTATTGGAAAATTAAAAATAAATAAAACGTGCAGTTCTAAACGATCGAAATTGCAAAATGACTTTGTAAATGAAAAAAAAAGACACCGAACACATTTTCAAGTAGCACCAAAATCCCAAAAGTATCCTTATATTTTTTATACAAGTCTGTTCACTTTCATGTATATATATAAAATAAAAACTAAATAAAAAATCCGAATTCCAGTCATCCGGTCACCTCTTCTCTGTTATTGTTGAAAGTTTCTGTTGAATGTTTTCTTGGTTTGTTTTTACTTTTTTTATTTATTAACGAATATTTTATTAATATATAATAAATTCCATTATGCAAAATACAACGTATTTCAAAAACTGTATTTGATTGTGATCTGAATGTACTCACCGCATTGCAGTTCGCCTTGATACCCTTGCGTTTCTCATAGTCGGCATATTTACGCCAGTAACCATAGCAATAGGGATAATGTGACAAAAATGCATCATAAGCCTCTCTGGCTGCTTCAGCGTCAGACTATGTGAAAAATATACACAATAAAAATGAACTTACGTTTCTACAAATTTGCATAAATACCTACCTCATTGTCTACATATTGAAGTAAATATGTCCAACCAGTAAAATCGGCAGGATCGGTTTTGACGGCACGCCAATATTTATCCAAATCTGGTAGTTTCTTCCGTTCTTTTTCTTTATCAGTTTCACGTTCCTTATCTTTCTCTTTATCCTTGCTGCTGCCAGAACTACTTCGTTCCTTGTCTTTTTCGCGTTCCTTTTCTCTGTGTCTATCTTGTCCCTGGTCTCTGTTTCTAAAATTAGAAGTTGTTTACTAATTTCTATCAAACACAAAACTTTTTAAATACCTACCACCCTCAATTTTAGCCTTCTTTTCAGTGGGACCTGGCGAGTCGTTACTTTCACTAGTTGGGCTCATGGGATTGTATTCTTCATCTTTCTTAGTTGATGCCGAATCAACTTCTTCTTTACCAGATCCATCCTGGACCTTTCGTTTTTTAGCTGAACTTTCATTGGGCGAGGGACTACGTTTTTCAGCGGCCGCTGGTAATTCATCCTCGGATATAACTTCAGCGTCAGGTGGTATCTCGGCACGTTGTGGCGCTGGTAATTCTTCATCTGACACTTCTTCGGCGTCATTAATTTCCGGTTTGGTGGGCAGGGGAAGTTCGTCTTCCGAAATTATTTCCGTGTTTTGTATGTAGCATCACTTATATCACCACCGGACATGGGAATGTCACTTACAATGGCAGGCTCTGACAGGGAATCTTCTGAATCCATTTTTTCACAATTGTCTATGACATCATTGTGATTAAGAACCTTGCTTCAAAGTTTTCTTTTTCAGAATCACCGCCTCCAACCGAAGGCAAACTGTTGGCATTGTCTCCTGCTAAGGAAGCAAGTAGAGAGTTTTCCTGCGCATTCTGTTGATTTTCATCAGTATTGACTTTATCATTTTCTTGATTGTCAGCCAAATCTTCCGAAGTTTCTGAATGGCCACCTTCAGGTCCGAATGGAAACGAAGAGGATTTTTCATCTAGATTAGCATCGGACAAAATAATAGCATTTTCTTCCCCAGAAACATAATTTGTTTCCTCCTCTACATTTGTGGCTACTTGCTGTTGCTGTGACTGGCTTCGGTCTTGTTCATTATCAATTAATCCGACACCCTGTGCAGCCTCAGCTATCATCTCGGCAATAAAGTTTGATTGCTGTTCTTGATCTTCGGTTTGTTGTCGATCGTCTCCCCTCTCTTCGATGGGCAATTCGTTCAACTGAAACAATATCAAAAATGTTTGTGGTTAGTTGTAAAAATAGGTGTAAGTACACATATTTCACATAATTTTCTAGAAAATTGAAGTCAGATGGCCCTTGCAAATAATCACATAATTCTTTCAACTTCTATTCCAACTCAATGCAATAGACATTGTAAGAAATTAATCATATGCATATGGAACAACGCCACATATGCACACGACTGTAAATGCAAAAGTGTTCATCACTATTTTCAAGATTCTTATCAAACAGTTTAAGTATCGGGTTATCGTTATATTTACCTCCTCTTGTTCCCGTTGGGATTTCCTTGTACGCCTGGTGGCTCTAGCAGGTGATGCTTGGGTATGTATTGTTGTTGAGGACCGTCTTCCAGAACGTGTTCGGCGTCCTTCAAATAAAATAAATTAAATATTATTACCACAACCGTTTTCTTAATGAGTATATAATTATTGTCCATATATACATTAGTTCTCAGCAGTTACACACAAAATTCTATCTCACGTTGCTTACAAAGCTGTCACACACAATACATGTGTGTATGTGCGTCGAGGTTGTCATGGGTGTCTTTTTTCCCTCTGTATTTCATTAATATTTTACAAATTTCATTTACGAAATATACGTGGACGCAAATAAGACACTTTGGATATTTTGTTGCGATCCTGCCTATCAAAAAACTTACCCGAATTTTCATTTTCCTGTAAAACGTTTCCTTCTTCAGCAGACGCCATTTTTATGCAATATCGGCGTGTTTGACAAGTTGTGTCAACTATTTGACAACACTAAATAGTAGTGATGAGGTTTTTGTGGTTATAGAATGATTGTTATTGCAAATGCGTATTGAGTAATTTGGTAATCGAATATATGAAGTAGCGGTGACTTATGGTCTGTTCCATGGCAGAAGAATACGGGTAGATGTATCAACCCTTGGGAACATTGACATGTCAAAAAAATTTTAAATCTCTTTTCAAATATAAGTATATTTTTATATGTTTTCTTATACGACGTCATTCGGAGGTTATTATAATACGCGTTTTTCAACAATTTTTTGCAAATTCAAATAATTTTTCATTCAACATTTTCAATTCCAATATTGGTTTGACAGTTCATTGTCCCAGCAGCTGTGTCGATGCGTATACCTATATTATTCTACCATGGTCTGTTCCAGAAATTCAAGAATGCATGGTACAAAAAAATGGTAAGTTAGAGCTACCAGCTGATTACATTTTTTTCTAAGTGTGCCGACTTCTGCCAATTAAGTGTATTTATTTATTGTTTTGAAAAATAAAAACAAATTGAATTGCGGGGCGCGCATTAATGATATTAACCAGATTTGCCACGGAATTGAAAGATTGACCACTTAGGATCACATTTTTGAGAGAACATGCAGGCATTTCATTCACATTTAACGCAATTTAACTCATTATAATCATTATAATATATAAAAAAACTTGTTGGATATAATTTTGAATAATTCTGACCGGAAGCGGGCATCGGGGCTGTATTTCTGTAGTTTTACGAAGCTGTTCTATCTCCATATTGTACCATGCAAAAATGTAAAAGTTTTTACTATGACAACCAATTTTCCATTCATGATATCGACAAACAAATTGCAAAAATAGTAGAGTGTTGCAGGTTCTCGAACAAATCATTACCTGGTGTTTACACAAGACAAACTGATCCAAAACAGATATGCATTTTACTACCACATAAAAAGTACCATAAAAAGGTAGGGTAGCTGATTACAATTTTTTCTAAATGTGCCCGACTTCGGCCAATTTTTCCTTTCTTCCATAACCTGCAAGAATCTACTAGTCTTGCAATTTTTTCCGATATCATAATGGAAGAATCGAACATTGCGGGCGCGCATTGGCGATATTTACCAGTTTGCGATGGAAATGAAAGATTGAGTTCTTTGGATCATATTTACCTCAATTAAAAAATTATTAGAAATATCAAATAAATGAAAACAACTTGTTGCATTTAGAAAATGTTGAAAATAATTTAAATTTGTAAAAATGGTTGAAAAACATTATACAAATAAAAAACATTTAAAATTTGTTGACATATCAATGCTTCCAAGCGTTGATGCATCTACCTTTATTCTTCTGCCATGCTCATAGCGGTATTTCCGTAGTTTCATTCTGCATTTCTGTAGTACCAAGGGTTTCAATCAAGGTACAATGAAATCAAGGTGTATTCATATATTCCATTCCATATATACATACAAATCAGCAATGGAACCCAGAAGTCTCTGCAATATAATTTGAGGATGTAAAGGCGCAAGTATTTTAGTGCGGCAAGGATTTTAGTGTGGCTCTGTAATCCCTTTATGAAATGTCACAAAATATGCCTAGCCATGACTTCAAGCTTCTTATGTACTTGTACCTTAAGATACATGGACATGAGGGTAACATCTTAATTGTACCATTTATTCTTCTTTGGTTAGGTATGTGTTTATTAATAAAAATCCGCTGAGCGATATTTATATCCTCCAGTGTGTAAACCTTTAATACAGTAAACATACTTTAAGTCTATTTGAAACGAAAAAGCTGTCGAAATTAAGCTACCTTTTCGATTTTGCCATGTTTACATTCGTGTGAACTACATTTACAAACACATTGGTAATTCCTACTCGCTTCAAAAGTCATAGTGCTGCTTTCTGGAAAATAGATTATTCAAAATTATACAATATGGTTATGCGCACAATAAACCATTCAATGAGGTTGGCAATGCGGGTACTCAATTTACATTTAAACTGTCAATGAAAAATTTAGGGTTGCTTGTGTATTTGTGGAAAAAAATTTACAAAATACTACTCCTTACCAAATATGAAAAAGAAACATTAATTTAAATAAATAATAAAACAATTATGAGGCACAATGCAATATCAATGAGATTGCATTAATTATAAACTCATTAATTTGTTGGACAAAATTTTCCAAGTATACGGGTATACACGGAGACGGAATCACAATGGAACGTTTTGCCATTAAAATTGATAGGAAGCTAAAGGCAAATTTATATAAAATTTGTCGTTTGTGCGGAATGGATTATCCAGATATGGTGCCCATATTGTCAGATGATAAGCCTGAAAATGCTAAAGACGATGAAGGAGTTGATGTCGATGCCGAGCCGGAGATGTCCCAGAAAATCAATGTACTTATTGGATTACTGGTAGGTAGGGGGGAGAATATATGCGAGTGTGCGATGTTGTTGTTGTACAGTGCAGTGCATATAGAGGTGTGGGGAGTGTATTTTGGTGTTGTATTGTTGTGTTTCCTGCATTCACCAACCATACGATTTTGCGATTTCAGATAACAAAGGACGATCGTATGCCGCAGACCATGTGTACATTGTGTGTCGACAAAGTGAACGATTTCTATGAGTTCCGTGAAATGTGTTATGCCACTTATGAACAGACAAGAAAATTATTGGGTCTTAAAAATGTTGTCAAGAAGCCAGTTGTCGAACCAAAACCGAAACTTGAAGTTAAGGAGGAGATACCGGTGGTGCCACCACCAGCTTCCAATAAGCTATTAAATCGTAAGAGGAAAGCTGAAATTGAAACAGCACCGGCGGTAGTTGTAGCACCGCCGGTAGTCAGTAACAAGAAGCTTCGACTGGCAGCAACGCCACTCAAGGAGGCAGCTACGAAAAAGGCTAAGCTAAAAGCCAAGGAGTGGAAAGAAGCAAAAGAAGAAGAAAAGGAGGCCGTAGTTAAGGATGAATGGTGAGAATCTGATATGATTTTAAGTAAAGTTCAGGAGGGAGATTATTTGATTGTTCCGACACATGGAGTAAATGTTTATAAATTTCAAGATATTCTGCAGTTGCATAAAAAGGGCCTTTACGTGATTTTTAAATTATTAGTGAACTGCAAAGTTATACTATATAAACAATCTGATAACTAGTTGCAATATCTAGAAAGTGATTAGACATAAAGGCAGTAGTCAGACCATCGTATAAATGAATTAGTTTGCGATAATTTTAAAAAATATTCAAAACTATATTAGTTAAATTTGATTACACAAATTGAATGTAATTTTGCTTTAGCAAAAAAATGTATGCAATTTTCATTCAGCGGTGAAAATGATTCCATGATTTTTTTTTTTAATTTTAAATTCAAATTAATTTTGTATAATCTAGCATAGTTTCAAAATAGCACCAATCAAATGAATTTTATACTCTACTCTTAGTACAGGATATTTTTTTTTATACCCTACACCATATTATGGAGGGTATATTAAGTTTATCATTCCGTTTGTAACACCTCGAAATATACATTTTAAACCCCACAATGTATATATTCTTAATCAGCATAAAATTCTATGTCGATTTAGCGATGTCCGTCTAAAATTTTGCATCCATGTTTATTTTGCCAGTAGACGGGTTAAGTTCGTAAATGGGCCATGTCGGTCCACGTTTTCATATAGCCCCTATATAACGGCACATCCCGATATTCGGTATTTTGATAATTTTAGCGAACTTATTCATCGGAATTGTTTCAAATTTGGTATTTCAAGTTCGAAATGGATACTATAGCCTAAGACAGAAAATTGTCTGTGCAGGTCCACGTCTTCGCATAGCCCCCATATAACGGTACCTCCCAATATTCGGTATTTTGATGATTTAAGCGTCATTACTCACCGGAATTGTTTGAGATGTCTCATTTAAAGTTCGTAATGGATGCTACAGCCTGTGACAGCAAATAAAAAACGGTACATTCCTATATACGGTATTTTGATGATTTTAGATACATTTTTCACCGTTTATGTCAAGTTTCGAATTTGAATATGGTAATGGTCTATGACAAACAATGCCTTTGTAGGTCCACCTATTCGGTATTTTTATGATTTTAAAAGATTTTTAACGGATTTTATTTTTTCAAAAATCGGCCCGGCCGAACATACTGCTTTTTAACTTGTTTTCTTTCATTTGTTTGCATCATGAAATATGAGATAGATCCACAATTTCTTTTAACAATTTATACATAACCATCCATCTGTCTGGTTGATTCTTGTTTTGTTCAGGAACGAGGTCTATTGCTCTTGGTGGATGTTGGAAAAGTTTTAGGATAGGCTCCTTAAGGTACATGCCTCCTATTGCATACCAATCAACCACGTTGTGTAAATATTGTTACATCAGAAAATTGCTGGTTTATATCTCCGTTCCGTATAGTTTTATCTGATTTCAATTAAAGTATCTCCAAAGACAGTAATATGCAACCGATAACAGTGATATTTGGTAAGAAATATCACATTCAGCCCCAATGTAACATTGTCATATTTGTCATTTTAACTTCTTCATCGCAAAATGTTCCAATAAGTAGATAATTTGGAGTTAAAGTAGTCATGATTTTTAAAAGTACATAGAAGATTTCATGACTCCAAGTGGACTGCTTCAAAAAAGTAGGAAAAGTATTGCATTCTGAAAAAAATTCAACTTTACTGTGCAATCGATGATATTCAGTAAAAAAAACTAAGCATTAAAAAATATAGAGGACATTTAATTCTAAAATTAGATGTTATTTTTTTATTGAATTCTATGCTTACCATACCTCTTTAAAACTATTTTCCAACTATATAATATTTTATCTATAATATATAGCCGCGAAGTCATTACCAGAAATATGAAGCTTATGAAGGAAAAAGAAGCTAAAGAGGCAAAGGAAGCTAAGATAACCAAGGATGCTGTTAAAGAAGAAACAACCAATACAGCTGTCAAGGAGGAAAGGTACCTATTTTCGTTTATAATGACTTTAATTATTTTTTATAGATTGTCATTGAGAAATTATAATTTGATTCATACATTAAAGTGACATTTGTTGGGGGGGGAAATTAAAAGAATTGCGAAAAGCATAAGTTTAGTGGCGTGGAACATTACAATAGGAATATACCAACAAATGAGAACCTAAAAGCCTGAATTATATTCAATTAGGTTGCACATTTTGCTCAAAACCTTAAAAATCATACGACCATTTATTTGTAAGTGCTTTCCGGAAGAAAATTCCATAGGAACATATAAATAAATGGAATAATGACTGTGTTCAAAGTAAATACTGAGTCAAGTGGGTGGACATTACTAATACTGGACGTTTAGAGTGAAATTGGGAAGCAATAAGTATTTAACTTAGCTTGGCTAAGACATGGAACAGAGGGGAACCGGTTCACTGCCTAGCTCGCATATACAAAAAACTTCAACAAAGTCAAACGCGATAATGTGTACATCTTTTGTTTTAATTTTATTGAATGAAAGCAAAAAATGTCGGAAATAGCATCAAATTTTAGAATAAGTTTAGATTTGTTCAAATTGCTCACCTTTAACACGAATTATGGCCTTCAAATGGCCAATGAAACCGTCACACGCTGCCCGAATGTTGCTCTGCGGTATTTTGGCCCATTCTTGCTTGAGGTGATTGGCACTTTGATACCAACCTTGCTTTCCAAAATACTCCAGACACAATAATCCAACGGATTGGCATCCGGAGATTTTGGTGGTCATTGTGCACTGGATATGAAGCGAGGAACCTCATTTTGTAACCATTCTTGGGTGGCGCGTGCTGTGTGCGATGGTGCTGAGTCCTGTTGGAATGCCCAAGGTCTGCGGCCAAAATGTTTGCGTGCCCAAGGCTTAAATACACCCCCAGAATATTTTCGCGATGATATTCGGCATTATCGATTAATGTGAGAGACCATCGGATGTTATGGCCATCAACATGGCCGGCGCCTGAGTTCTGGTGGCCAACCGAAGGTCCACATTTTCAGCTGAACTCCTTGACAAGTAAACACAATCATTTTGTTTGTTTACAAACTGCTGGACAACCAATGTTTTCTCATCGGAGAAAACCAAATTCGGCAGTTCACCACTTTCGGCCAAGCGAAACAACTCTTTAGCTCTTTTGAGTCCATTTTCTTTCTGTTGCGTTGTAAGATCTTGTACTTTTTGGAATTTCAATGGCTGAGCTTGGGGTAATCATTTTTCAATATTTGCCGAATGGAATATTGCGATATGTTCTGCTCACGAGCTATTTTTCGGCCACTGTGGCACAGGTTTCGATCAAGTCGCTTCTTTACTTTTGCAACCATTTCTGCTGATGCTGCTGTTTTCTTCCGTCCACTTCCGCTTCCTTGACGTCGGGCTACGCTACCAGTGTCACGGTAATGGGCGATGGTACGAGACACAAAAGATTTATTCACATTTAAATGCTGGAGTGCTCTAACGATAGCCACTTGTGGTTTTCCAGATAAATATAAAGAAATCACACTATTATGCTTCAATTCCATCACGAAAAAACTTTTTCTGCCGGACGAGTGGCGTAGAAATGACACCAGCCTGAAGTTGGTTGCAGTTTTTTAATCTCACTCTATACTCTTTTCGGAAACTAAATCCGAGTTAGAAAAAGTACGTATCACGAATGTTCAAAAAATTGTACTTTCCGGAAGAATATAATTCCGCGTGGATATTTATGATTGGGCTGTATATCTTGCCAATAAATTTTGTCCACCTTGGGCATTATTTGATGTTTTCAAATAAATGAATCGGGGTATTAACAAATAAGGATTTAATTGTGTTTATTTCACAACAGCGTATAATGTTTCCTAATGTAAATTTATTTTCATGTATAGCAACGAAAAGGCAACAACAACATCAAAGAAAGATCACAAGGAAAAGTATTCAAAAAAAGAACACAAGGATAACATCAAAGAAAGTGCTTTTGCCCTCAAAAAAGACAACAAAGAAGTAATATGCACAAAGAAGGGAAAACATAAAGCCAAAGAGGCTAAAGAAGAAGATGTGACCGCCGTAAAAGATGAAATGTAAGGTTTGAATTAGAAATTATTTTTCACATTAATACTCAAATCTAATTTGTTTTTTTTTGTTTTGTTTTATAGCAAAGAAGAAGTCAAGGAAGAACCAATGACGGCACAAACATCTACGGCGAACTCTAGTAACACAGCTATTGCGAATCCTACAGCAAAACTTAAACACGGTTGCTCCATATGTTCGGAACGTTTTGGCACAAAAGGCAAACTGGAAGCTCATGTACGATTACATCATATACCCAAGGTGGAACGTTATGTTTGTACCGCCTGTAACGAAACAATTTCCAAAAGTTTCGATATTAAAAATCACCAGCTTTGGCATAAACTTTCGAAAACTCCATATGTTTGTGGTCTGTGTGGTGAATCGATTGTCAGTACATATGCCTATGCAAGGTAGGTGTTTTTAACAAATATAAATGTGTAAAATGACAGACGGGGTTTCGGGATTTAACGTGCTGAATTTGAGGTCATTCAAGAGACTGATTGCCAAATTTTCGAGGGCAATTTGTACCTAAAATTAATATTTTTCAAAACTTTTTCCTTTAAGAAGTCAAAAAGTATAATAGCATTTATGTTCAGTTATTTTCTGTATATTAGCCTGTTCCAGAACTTGAAAGAATCTACTAGTTTTGCAATTTTCTCACATATCATAGAGGGAAAATCGGTTATCGCAGTAAAAACTTGTACATACTTGCAGTTCTGGAACAGACCATACGCTGGTATTTATTTCTTTCAATTTTCTTGAATATTGTATGGTAAACGAAAAGCCGAAAGAATGTCATGAGTTAAGAGACACTCAATTTAACTCGACTTCTAATGACTACCTTATTTTGGTTTTCATTTTCCGATTGTCTTAAATAAGTAATGTGAAGGCAACGAAGTATAAAAGGGAACTATTGATTTTGATCATAACCAATGAAATAGTAAATTTTTTCGAAAAATGTCTTCGAATGATTTAGAATTTTTGAGTTTGAGCCCCTCAACATTGTGTTGTCTATTCTATGATCATTTATATTGTAATGTATGCAGATCTGTATAGTACTTTTTATATATTGTGAGGTGTATGTATGTGACGTATAGATGTCACTTTGGAAATACTTTTTTTATACCCTCCACCATACATAGTATTCGGGGTATATTAAATTTGTCATTGCGTTTGTAACACTTCGAAATGTACATTTTAGACCCCACAAAGTATATATATTCTTGATCAGCATAAAATTCTACGTCGATTTAGCCATGTCCGTCCGTCTATCGGTTTGTCCGTCTGTGGAAATCACTCTAGCTTCCGAACGAAAGGAAGTAGGTTGATAAAATTTGACTGAAATGTGTATTATGTATGCAGGACTTTTGGTATTGAAAATGGGTGATATAGGTCCACGTTTTGGTATAGCCTCCATATTATGGTACCTCCCCCGTTTCGGTATTTTGGTGATTTAAGCGACATTTTCCACGGGAAATGTTTCAAATTTGGTATTAGAAGTTCGTAATGGGTACTACAGTCTATGACAGAAAATTGTCTGTGCAGGATCACGTCTTCGTATAGCTCCATATAACGGTACCTCCTGATATTCGGTATTTTTATGATTTTAGCGACATTATTCACCGGAATTGTTTTAAATTTGGCATTTGAAGTTCGTAACGGATATGGCAGAAAATTGTTTGTGCAAGTCCTCGTCTTCATATAGCCTCCATACAACGTACCCCCCGATATTCTGTATTTTGATGATTTTAACGACATTGTTCACCGGAATTGTTTCAAATTCGATGTTTGAAGTTCGTAATGAATACTACAGTCTAAGACAGAAAATTGTCTGTGCAGGTCTACGTCTTCGTATATCTCCCATATATAATGGTACCTGCCGATATTCAGTATTTTGATGATTTTGGCGACATTATTCACCGAATTTTTTTATTCAAGTTTCAAATTTGAATATTGTAATGATTTATGACAAAAGTTGCCTATGAAGGTCCACGTTGTCGTATAGACCCTAATATAACGGATACATTCGGCATTTTTATACCCTACACCATAAGGTGGTAAGAGTATTATTTCTTTGTGCATTTGTTTGTAACAGGCAAAAGGAAACGAGATAGACCCATAGTTCCTTTTGATGATCTGCATAGAATCACATTCTGAGTCGATTTATGCATGTCCGTCCGTCCCTCTGTCTGTCCGTTAGTCTGTCCATGTATTTTTGTAAACAAAGTATAGTTCGCATTTATTGCCCTATCCGGATGAAATTTTGCACAAATCATTTGTTTGGCCCAAGGACGCACCCTATTGAAATTGGAGATAATCGGTCAAAATTTAGATATAGCTCCCATATATATCTTCGTCCGATTTGCCTTTTATTGCGCCCCGAACGTGTAATATCAGCCCGATTAGTATGGAATTTTGCACATACAACCAAATTAGGCCTGAAAATAAGTAATCGGTTCAGATATAGCTATAGCTCCCATATATATAGTTCATCCGATTTGTTACTTTTTTGTCCTCCGCAGCCGTAATATGCACTCTGTAACACAATATTTGGGGAAATATAGCAAATACAGCTCAGATATACATTTGCTAAATTTTATCGAGATCGGTTCAGATTTGGATATAGCTCCCATATATAACTTCGTCCGATTTACTTTTTACCGATTTGTTGTATTTGTTACCCACACCCGTAACATGCACTCCGTAACAACGATATTCAGGGAAATATATCAAATACAGCTCAGAAATATCTTTGGTAAATTTTATCGAGATCGGTTCAGATTTGGATATAGCTCCCATATATATCTTTATCCGATTTCAAATTAATTGTGCACCAAATGGGTAATACAAGTCTGAATTTTGAAGATACAAATGTTTCAGCATCTTTAGTCCTTTGAACTTTAAATTATAATCATGGAGTGTATGATTGAATTCTCCCATAAAAACTTTTAATTGTTATGTGGAGCTCTACTAAATTAGGAAAGTGGTGTAGGGTATCATAAAGTCGGCCTCGCCTGACTTTAAGACTTTCTTTACTGGTTAAGATTTTAAAATAATTTTTAAAGGATTTTATTTTTTTGAAAATTGCTAAAATCGTTCCAAATGGTGGAGGGAGGGTATTTAAAGATCGGCCCGGCCTAATAGGACCGTAACAAATAAGAATGAAAAGAAGATTAAATGTGAATTGCCTTTTTTAATCCCTTATTAATGTTTTCTATAGAAAATTAGTACAAAAAATTATTTTCATATCATTTATCCCAGGCCCCTATTTCCCCCGGACTAGACCGTTTGTGCTTAAATTTTTTAAAATTTATTATTTTTTTTTTTTTTATATTTAATTCTAATTCTCTTTCCCTTTGCAGACATCTACATGAACATGGCTTCGAAACACCGCCAGCATATATGGTCTTGGACAGAGAATGTCCACAATGTCACATAACATTTACCACAAATTTCCTATACAATACCCATCCATGTGCTGTTAGAACAAGACGTTGTGCTGGATGCAATCGTTTGCAGCGCTCCGAAATCGAATATGTTAAACATTCCGCGCTCTGTGCCAAGGCCTATCTCAACTATTCGAAACATATTGCTCCGGCCGTTGAGGCGCAGGAAGATGAGGTGCGCATCAAAAACGAGAATGATGTTGAAGCGGCTGCCGAGGAGATGGCTCGTATTTCGGGTTTGCCATTGGAAATGTCACCTGTGGTACAACTGACAAGACTGTCTTCGCCACTTTTAATGGCGGCAAATCATTGTCTACCCATACCCAATATTGAAGATATTCCAACCACCAGTGGCAGTAAAAAATCGGGTAAAAAGGGTGTTTCCAAAAAAGAACTAAAACGTGTCGATGAACTACTCAAATCAACCTTGGATGTTTTGGTCAGCATAAAACATGAACCAGAGGTGCATGTCGATTCTGAAACGGCACCAGGTGCCGCTGAAGCCAGTGACGATGAGGCAATAGGCGATGATGGCTTTCAAAATGATTTTCATCACAATGAAGAAAGCGATGACGAAAATGAAAATGCTGCTGCTGGTGATGCAGGAAATAGAATCCAAATCAAACAGGAAATCGATGATAGTAAGGATACAGCGCACGCAACAGCAGAATCTAGTGAAAATGGTGCTAGCAAGACATCATGTGGCTTTGGGTTGAAATTGAAAATTCGCAAAGAACATGGTCAACTAAATTCATCCATAATTGAACAAGAAGCTGTGGATAAGAAGTCAGAAAAACGTAAAAAGAAAAAGAAACACAAAGACAAGGAAAAAGATAAACAAAAATCGCAAAAGGACCATGCAGAAGAACAAAACTCACGTGATTCGTTTAAAGCTCAAAACCATGTTGGAGAAAGTGATGGTGTGGCTGCTGTAAAAGAAACTCCCTCAACCACGGTTCACATTAAAACGGAGCCAGTGGATTCCATGGAAACCGATGAAGCTCCTTCCGCTATAAATTCCATGACACATCGTCCCCAACCAGAGGCTACCATTATGACATCAATACCAATGATGCAGTTGCAAATTTCCTGCATTTCGGAGGGTGTGGAGTTTAATGCTGCCAATGTCAGTGGTGCTGGCAATGTGGAGCAGCCAACTCCTCAACATCAACAACCTCACAATATGTCCGAACAGGAAGATGTTAAACCCAATCGCGAGGAGTTGGATAGAATGTTGAATATTTCGCACATGCCACCTAGTGTCAATGAAGTGATGCCGCCACCGGCCACCAAATTGCAAATAGCCAATGTTACCGGTGGTATAGCAATGGAAACCGATGAAACAAAAGAAGAAGTGGAAAACGAAACAACCATGGAACAAGATCATACCGATGCCACGGACGATGAACACCACGAGGAAGAAGAAAATGAACCGGACAATCAGTTGCATAAGAAATTACACATAAAACAACAACAAAAAATAATGTCACCCAGTGAAAAATTATCAAAGACAAAGTTGACACTGAAAATAACATCACCTAAAACATCCACCCCGAATAAAAGCCGTAATAAAGCTTGTAAGTCAACTGCCAAACCGAGTAATCCCCCAGTTGCCTTGCAAATCGCAGCGGTTCAGAGTGGTGTTACATTGCCGCCATCAACAGCCGCCTCAGAGCCCATGGAACAAAATGATTTTGTACCAATGTTTATAAAACCCGAACCACAACATCGTGGCTATGCCGATGAAGAACCTGCCGCCATGTCCCCAGAGAGAACACCGTCTCCAACTCCCTCGTCCGTTTCTTCGCCAGCAAGAGAGGTACCAGAAGGAGTCAATACATCATCTCAGCATTTTACGCCCGAGGAACAAGCCTATATATCGACAATAGATTTCGATAACATTACAATCAAACAAGAAAAGGATTTGGAAATTAATGATGTCCAAATGAAACCTAAGAAACCTCTACGTCCACGTAATCATTCCTTGAATGGTATTAAAAAGCGTAAGGTTATCAAGGAACATAGCGTAGCCGAAAATCATAATGAAGACGCTGAAGAAAAAGAATGTGAAGCATCTTCCGAAATGGAAAATGATGAAGAACACGAAGAACACGAAAGTGAGGCAGAGGAAGCGGATGAAGAGGCCGATGAGGAGGAGGAGGAAGAAGAAGAGGAGGTTGATGAAGAAGACGACGAGGAGGAGGACGTTGACGAGGACGCAGAAGATGAAGAAGAACGCGAATACAGAGAATTGGAATATCCACCAGAATTGGCCGAAACCGCAACACCCGATGATGGTGAAGAGACAGAACTGAGTGATAATGAAAATAATACAGATAATGAAAGGCCCAGTAACATTGACGAAGATGATGAGGATCTGGATGCCGATGAGAATAGTCAACGATCAAGCGATCCAAAAGAATCTCCTCTTCAAGATGAGAGCAACAAAGACGATCAGTATAAAAAAGAAGGTGGTGAAGCCAATGATAACAAAACTCCATCTGCTTTTGTTATTGCGAATATTTGTAGTAATGTAGCTGAAGCGGCAACAGGTATCGGAGTTATATTAGATCGGCCAGTGGTAAATATTAAACAAGAAATAACCGAGTTTGAAGAGCCACCGCAAGAAACAGCACCTGTTTTGAAAATCGCCTCAGTTGCCTCCGGTTCTTTAGATTTGGGTAATATTCTCCCCATTGAAAGTGGACTAGCAGCAACGTTGCATCAGAATAGTTTAGCGGTGGAACCACAATGTCATATGGAAATGGATCAAAATATGACTGAAATTCATAGGCCAAACCAAAGTTTAACAGAAAACAATATGGAAGATAATTCCATGGTACAGATGGGAACACTGAACGAGAATGTTAACATTGATGCACCACCACAAGAAGTTCGAATAACACACGAAAGGCATGTACAAGAAAACACAACAAATCAATATTCAAATCAAACAGCCAGTGATATTACGACATCTCAGTTTCTTCCCCAACTCGAAAATCCCATGGAAGTGCCCACAAATAGTATTGAAGTAGGTGTCTCGAATAATAATCCGTACATTCCAAGGTTATTGGAAGATACAGCGGTGGCGATAAATGCAAGCAATTTAAATTATCCTACATATGAAAATCCCAATACGGAAGTTAATGGAATTGCCAGTGAAATGGGTGGTTTGGTAGGTGAAAGTCCGGTGGCAGCAATACCAATTCCTAATCAAAATGAAAATCAAATCTTATCACATCTTGCCAATGATGAAAGCGCGGTGAGAAAACCTCTTCTGCCACAGGGTAAATTCGAGGATGGAACTATAACAGGTATTGTCCATCAAAGTGATGACCTCAAATTAGAAGCTATACCTGTAAATGTAACGAGAGAACAATGTAACCCCTCATCGTCCTCCTCCTCCGTGGCTCTTAATCAAATGGGAAGTCCCACAGCAGGGGATGAATACGATGAAACAAATGCTGCTGATGGAGAAACTGATATGGATGATGAAATGCAGTTGGAAGATAATTCAAATCTGGCCAATTTAGAGGAACAGCAAAATCAACAAAATCTTGAACAACAACTTTCATCATCCTCTTCACAGTTTGCAGCAACAGGAACGCGACCCACAGCCTTAGCCCTGCATCCCTACCTGGAAGACATCTCCTCAAGTAGTAATAGTTTTTTAAGTAATGCCCTATCACAAACACCTCCGCCAACCCTGCAAACTTCCTCCAACTGCTCGTTGTCCGCGATGGAAACGGTCGCAACAACAACAGCAACAATGCCTCCTGTGTCACAGAATCTAAATATAACACACCAACAAAATAATGAAGAGACTGAAAATATTCTAAACGAATCAAATGATATGCTTAATCGTCGTTGTGGTGCTGGCTTTGCTGCGTCTTCGTCAACACATCACACAGCAGCCTTTAATTTTGATAATATCAATGAAATTGCTGAAAATAATAATAATGCCAATATTGAAAGAGAACAATTACAGGATGACCAACAGCAACAAAGAAGACATCAACAACAGCATCAGGGCATGGATGATGTAACGTAAAGCAATAAATGTGCTATGGAAACACCTGTTGATTATGTCCCAAAAAAAAAAAAAAATAAACAATCCAATCTGTTTTTTCACTTCTTTTACAACATTAAATTAATTTAAATGCCGTAAATATAAATATTGACATCCACATTCAAGTCCACCCAAGCACATAACATATTTCAATACAAAACATTCAATAAGAGATTTTGCGGGTGATCCGCAATCATTTTGCTTTTTTGTAAATTATTCTCAACAAACTATTTCACATACACATTCACTCATACAACAATAAACAATAACATTTACCCTAATGTATAGATAAGTTAAGTTATTTATATATACGAAAAAAAAAAAGAAATACATGCCCCTTCCCCTCCTTTCCTTATTAAGTTTTGTTTTATAAAATTTAAAATTGAAAACTCATTGTACAATGAAAGAAATCTCATTTCTAAGTCCCCCGCCGTTACAGCCGATTTTATATTGTATAATTTTGTATTAGTCAAAAACATGTGTGTAGTTTTTTTTTCGTTTCGCCTTTTCCCACCCATCTTTACCATATAGATTTAAGTTCTTTATGTTTAGTTGTTGTCATAAATGTATACAGATTGCATACAGCACACACACACACACTCCCCCATAGGCCTAGGCTTAAGTTAAGGATAAGTTTATACTTCATTATTGAATTGCAATTCATATTTAATTTAATTATTATTATTGTTTCATTCTAAGATACTAATTCAGTTTTTTTTTTTATCAAAGATGATTGATAATTGTTCATAGAAATAAAAATAACGATCGAAATAATAACATAAAATATTTGTTAATAGAAATTGAAACGCTCGTAAAATAATATTACATGTGTAGAGTATAAATACGAAAATATAGATATGTATGAACACGATAATAATATCTAACAAATATATAAGGATACGGCTTAAATTTTAAACAACAAATCTTTGGAGAAGTTTTATTGAAGAATAGAAGTTGGGATTCTTAACATTAAGAACATGCGGTCAGAGCTGCGCCAGTAATGACAACCCTCTGCATTATCAGTAGGTCACAAATAATGACAATTACATTTATTATGCACAAGCAAGTACAGTTGTGTCAATCTAGTTTATTGTTTAGTACATCAGTTCCTAAACGTATGAGTGATTCCATATACACTGGTGGCCAAAACTAAAGCAACTAAAATTACAAGAAGAATGAATGCTCTTTAACTTTTTAAGAAATTAAGAATATGAGAAAGTTTTTCTTGTTTTAAATTAGGTACTTTATACACTTTTTAAAAGCCTAAAACAAAAAACCAAAATTCATTTTTATATAAAAAATAATGTATGGTAAATTCAATTAACTCGATTTTGGCTTGGACAAAACAAAAGCAACTCTGTTGTACATTCATATAACCGCTGCAATTTCAGTGGTTTTTACTGTGATATTTATCGCTTTTTGCTTCCTTCGACAATTTCGCTTGTCATAAATCCTTTTTGAGAAGTTTTTTACAACAGCATGTGTTTTTCTTTTCGTTTTTTAAGTACTGCCCAAAAAAATTTAAAAATGGATAGAAGTAAATACAGTACATGAATAAAACAGCAAATTATCAGTAACTATGAAAACAACATATCACAGAAAATGATTTCCGAGAAATATTTCATAAATATTTCTGTGATTTCATAATTATATCTGTATACTAAGTCGGTTTTTTGAAACTGGATCAGTAGTAACAGTCTATAACGGATGAAGCCGTGAAAAACCTTTGCCCGTACTGATCCACAAATTGTGAGAGAAATACAAAAAACAACCATTTAAGAGTTCAACTGGATTGGCGAGAGAGCAATCATTGGATGTAAGCTCGAGATCAGTGCGTATACGAGTAGTGGCAGCTGGTCTGCATGCCCGTAAGACATCAAAATAGCTATTTATATCTGAAAAAATCAAAAAGGCTTTCGGAAATGATAATATGAGGTGGAATCAAGCTCAATGGAAAAGCATTATTTCTAGGATGAGTCTACGTTTAATATTAAAGGCTCAGACGTGACAAATTTTACCAAAAAAATGAAGGACTCAAGCCGCAGTGTTGCAAAGGTACAGTGAAGCATGAGCGAGGGTCAAAAATGGCGTGGCTCTGTTTTTCTTTCTATGGACTTGGGCCTATCCATGAAATGGATCGGTTTTTTTTTTACAAAAATGTGTTGGACATCACGTTTTTCCCTTACGCTGAGTAAAATATTCGGCTCATTTGAGGGTTTTTCAGCATGACAATGATCCCAAACTTGCATCAAAACTTGTCAAATATTGGTTGCGGGAGTCAAAAATCGATGTTTTGTCATGACCGGCACAATCATCTGACCTAAACTCCATAGAAAACCTTTGGAGGTAGGAAGATCAAGCGAGATTCGGAATCAAATAAGCACAATATTTTCTAAAGAATTCGGGGTGCCTGGGAAAGCATACCCAAGGATCAAATTGAACGTGTTATAGATTCAATGCCTCGTAGGTGTGCAGCTGCTATCAAAAATAATGGATGCTATCGACTACTAGCCAAAATTTAATTATTTTAAAATAAAAATTGTTATGGTTCTTTCCTGTGAAGGATTTGGGACGAGCTGTTCGGCTGCTCAGTGCAACTCAGGTAGAGTTCCAACCCACTCAGTCCCCTTTGAACCTGAACAAAAAAAAAGGTATCACTTTACTCAAAATCACAAACCCCTTTCTGCACTAGAGACTTGGTGAATCTGTCTCACACTGGCCCTCCCAACCTAGGCTTATAACATCCGTCCAATTTTTATTACAAAGCCCCACAACATTTTTACAAACACATACCAGTTTAGTTTACCTTACGGAATCATCCCCAAAATTGACGACACTTAGTGTTCCATATTTGGCGCTAGAACGCTGATATTTTTATATTTAAGTATACTAAAAATACAACATTAAATTGACAAACCAAAAAATTATTTATGTTACACTGAAAAAAACTCAGAGACCTACAAAGTCCAAAGGTTTGCCCATTTGTTGGCCGTAAATCTAACGAAAAATTTCCTGCCTAAAAGAGCTCACTTAGGCTAGTAATGAGATGGTTCATTCGTACCAAAAATTCCTATTTAAAAACAAATGACTTTGTATATCTCATCTAACATTTTTTTTTTACCTATACTAACGATACAAATACATAACCTACTCTTAAAACTTAAAATTAGATATATTAAAATTCAATCCTTAAACCTAACTTAGATTATCTCCTTCTCTCCTTTTTGATACGTGTGATTTTGTTTTGGTTCTTTAGTTTCAGTATATTTTTTTTATCTGAATATCAGAAGGTACTTTTACTATTAATTTTATTGTCCTTAACTTTTTCCGTCTTCTCTCAGGACCTGTTTCACTTCTTCAATTCTTTACAACTCTGATTTTGAGGTATGTTATTAAATCATTAGCGAGTACTTTAAGGTTTTAAAAATATTATCTTCTTACTACACCATTATACTTATTCATTTTGGGGCCTGTAGTCCTTTTTCGGCTATGGTGGAACTTTTATTCGGATCTTCGGGTATCAACCACCATCCACAAAAATGAAGCCCCTCGGTCAGTCTTAGTGCAAGACTTCTTAGGTAGTCTCTTGGTGCGGTGTGATTTGTTTAAGAGGGTGCTTTATCTCCCAGCCCTGTGTGTCTTATTTCCTGGGTAACGACTCTGTGGTCACTCGCTCACTCAGGCAATCTTCATCTAAAAACACCTTTACATTAAACATCTAATTTCCTTATTCCTATTACCACTTACTTAACAAATCTTTAATATATCCTTTTACTTTTATTTTCAGCACACACATCCAGATATCTTCCAGCGAGGCCAGAAATTTAAACTAAATTTTAATATATCATATATCATATTTTATTTAATAAACAAATTAATTTATTCCACACTCACATTTAAACTTCTATTATTTTTAGCAAAAAAAAATTTTGTACTTCTTTAAGCACTACTAAATTATTGAACACCGCACGATTCTTTGCACAACTGACTCAACCTTCTCCTTGGTTAAGGTTTTTTTTTCTTTTATACCCCATATCTCTTCCCAAGCTAAAACGCCATATTTTTACATACTTGTCTCTTGAGTCATTGCGCCAAAATCACCCTATTTGCACTCTCAACCTAAAATTCTTTGCATAAAATTAAAATGGAGTTTACCCTTTCATATTCGAAAATTCTCATCTTTTTTCATACCCCTTTCCTGCCTTACTGCCATCTATTTTCATTACTACTCTTTATGTTACATTTTTTTGTTCTCTTCCATGCGTTCCCTTAAATGGTCATTGCATTTAGTAAGTTACTTTTTATATTAACCCACTCTCTTGCAGGCACGAATAATCATAGTTGGCAAGTCTAGCAAGCGAGAAGTAACTTTGAACGCTCAAGCCGACTATTTTTATTACAGACTATCAACACAAGAATTTAATTGTTAACTACATTTGAAAAGCTGAGAACATTCACAGCCCTGGGGTGCAGATCCAACTTACCACCCCCAAATAAGGGTTTATGCCCACCAGTGGATTCCTCTATATACCGCTCATCTTTAACAATTTCCCCCTTTTCTGAACTGTGGCCACCCCCTTTTTCCCGCAAACACGGATTACTCCCGTGTCTCAGACGAAGACCACTCTCCCCATCCGGAAGCCCCCATGGAAGTTCATGCAACAAAACTCCGATGCTAGCAAGATTTCTGGAGAGCAGCGGTGTGCAGAACTGAATGAAATCTGTTCGGATTCACGTGGGGAATTCCCACGCCCTGAATATCTCAAGCCGGGCACTGCAGGTACGTTTAATTTATTTCTTCCATCTCACAAATATGGAGTTTACACCCACTACCAGACTGCTATTCCTTGTGCAAATTCCTGTGTAACCAACATTACTCTATAAACCCCAACATATTTGCTGAAAATTATGATACTATATGGGCTATATTTAGTTTTCAGACATGGCGACTCGTCCCTCCCCGATTTCTAAACTTTAATATCTTTGACATGGCATAGACCTAGTGGTCGACCTTGCAAATCCTCAATCTCATACATGTTGCTCCCTATAGGCCTTACTATTCGACATTTTGTAAATTTTTTTGCAAATTTCGCATTAAAACATTTACTAAAATCGCTTTGAACGTAATTCCGTCTAAAAACTTCCTGACCCGGTGTAAATTTTATGACCCTTGCTCTCATATTATATCTTTTCGCGCTCATTTCGTAAGCCTGGTGCAGATTTTGTGCGATTTTATTTCGAATAAGTTCCATTCGCTCGCCATTACTAAAACCACTGATTTCATGATCTGACAGTGATTTTAATTGACGGGCGAGCTTATAATCGGAGCCATGCGTAAACATTTCGAAACCGAATAATGCAAAAAATGGAGTCATTTTCGTTGCGCTATGAATCGACGTACGCAGAGCACATTCTATTTCGCTTAAATATATATCCCATTCTCTGTGGTCAGATTCCATATAGGCCCTTATAGCCGCTAGAATTGAACGATTTGCTCTCTCTGACGCATTCGACTGTGGAGAGTAGGGTGCTGTTTGAATATGGTTGATTTTATATGCGCTTATCATGTCTTTGAAAGCCTTTGAAACAAATTGGGAACCATTGTCGCTGTGTAGCGTTTCGGGTACACCGAACTTATGGAAAATTTCTTGGACTAGGAATGCAATGACACCATTCGCGTTCGCCTCTTTCATAGCCTTCAGAAAAATGAATTTTGAAAAATGATCTAGAACCACGAAAATATAGGCATTCCCATTTTTGCTTCGGGGATATTTTCCCAAAAAATCTACGTATAGTTTTTGGAAAGGCCTTTCCGTTATTACTTCACCCCCCATGGTTGGTTGCATCCTGTAGTTTGCAGATTTTGTCTCTTTACAAATTTGACATTTGGAGATATACTGTTGAACTTGAGATGTCATTCTGGGCCAGTAATACAACCTCTTCACACGATGTAGTGTTTTGGCAGCTCCTCCATGAGCGGAGGTTTTATCATCGTGGGCCTTTTCAATTAATACATGAGTCAATGCCTCCGGAACCCACAATTTCCACTGGGTTTCACCCTGCAAGTCTTCGTTGTCATATCGTGTTCGCTTAAATATTAGACCATTTCTAACTTCTATGTCTGGTAGATTAACCTTATTCTTTTCTACTACATCTCTCAATTCCCTATATTCTTTGGACTCAAATTCCGCTGTTTCAAAATCAAATCTATCTTCAGTATCTATTATTTCCTCGATTACCGCTGTTCGAGAAAGCATATCCGCTACAATATTATCTTTTCCCTTGCGGTGCTCAATATCAAAGTTGTACGCTTGTAATTGAAGGGACCATCGCGCAAGCCGTCCATTCAAATCTTTGAGGCTCATTAACCACTTCAGACTAGCATGGTCAGTTATCACGGTAAATTTCATAAGCTCTACATATGGTCTAAAACGTCTGATCGCCATCACGGCTGCCAGGCATTCCTTTTCCGTCACCGTGTAATTCCTCTGACATGTATTAAGCTTCTGAGAGTAGTAAGCTATTGGATTTTCTTCTCCATCATCGCTCTTCTGAAACAAAACCGCCCCTATTCCCACGTCTGAAGCATCACATTGTATGAAAAATGTCTTCGTAAAATCTGGATGTTTCAATACTGGGGCCGTGGTCAGATCGTGCTTTAGGTCTTCGAAAGATTCGATGGCTGCAGGGGTCATTTTGAATTTTACAGACTTTTTTAGGGTATCGGTCAACGCTGCTGATTTACTTGCAAAGTTTTTTATGAATTTACGGTACCATCCTGCCGTTCCCAAGAAACTCCTAACCTCTCTTATGGATTTTGGAATCTTAATCCTATGAATTGCTGCTATCTTGTCAGGGTCGGTTTTTAGCACTCCTCCGCCGATTATAAATCCTAAATATTTTAGTTCCTTACATCAAAACATACTTTTTTTTAAACCTATTGTCAAATTTGCTTCATCCAAACAACCAGCTACCTTTTCTAACGTGGCCAAATGTGATTCGAAGTCTGCATTTATTATGAGCAAATCATCTAGGTACACAAACACATTTGCCTTGAGACGGGCTGGAATCACTTTGTCCATCAATCGACATAGACGCTGGGCCGCGTTACACAACCCAAATGGCATCACCCGAAATTGGTAAAGCGGCCTACCTGGCGTCGTAAAGGCCGTATACGGACGTGATTCCTCGTCCAGTTCGATCTGCCAAAATGCATGTTTCAAATCTACACTACTAATGTACTGCGTTTGGTCGATTCGGCTTAAAATTCCCTCAATATTTTGAAGGGGATACGCATCTTTTACGGTCAGAGCATTTAATTTCCGTGCGTCCAAGCAGAGTCGGTTTTTTCCGGGTTTCCGTACAATCGTAGTCCTGTTACTCCAAGCACTCTCGCTCTCCTCTATTACCTTTAACTCTAACATTTTATCTATTTCTGCATAAACCAACTCCTGTACCGCCGGGGATATCGGATAATGCTTATCCTTTACTGGCACGGCTCCTTCGACCAATTTTATTATATGCTTCTCCACATGGGTCCTACCAAGGCCCTTGCTTTCGAAAGACGGAAATTTTTTGACAACAGTTTGTAGTTTTTGCTCTTGTTCTCTTGACAACTCATGCATGTTTCTTTTATGTTCATTTTCTAAATTTTCGAATTGGCTGGGAACATTTTCCTCATTCAATTCATTCGCTTCTAGCACCTCCGGGGCTAATCCAAAAGTCGTCCAAAAATTTATTCCGAGGTACACAGCTTGGTCCAAATCTGGACATAAATAAAAAAGTACCTTTTGAACTTTATTTTTATATTGGACATCCATTTCTATATTCCCTATTATTCGAAATTTTTGTCCCGATGCTGTTCGAACATTCGAAAATATTTTATTGATTTCCAACCCGAGATTGTCTATCATCTCCCGACATCCTTTTCCTAGGATACTTATAGTAGCTCCGGAATCTAATAAACCCCTGAATCTAACGTCACCTATTTTGAAATCGGCGTAGGGTCTTGGATCGTCTCCATTACTTCTCCCAAATTTCCCTATTGCCTCTGCTACATTTCTACAGACTCGTTTCCTTTCCTTGTGTTGTTTCCTGAGCTTTAAAATCTTTCTTGATGGGGATTTACGTGCCGGTACCTGTTTGAAGTTCTGTGCTACTAAATTATCTTCTAAGTTTACTTCGTTACTCCTTTCAATTTCTCCGAATATTCTAGATTTTATTATCTCATAATTTTGTTTTCTAATTTCTGGAGGAAGATAATGGCGCAACTTTTTGTAATCCCTCATTGGTTGTGATACTACTGTTGGATCTGATTGGCAGTAGCTTCTCCCGAACGCTGGTTCCCTGCCTTGACCACGTTCCTCTTCCCGTTTCCCGACTTACATTTCTGACAATATGGGGTAATAGTGTCAGCTTTACCACAACGGTAACAAAATATGTGTCTTTCCGTCGATATGCAGTCCTTGAAAACATGGCCTGTCTTCTGACAGTTCCAACATGTTACCATTACTCCCATCGCAGCAATTTCTTGCTCGTTTTGATCATCATTCATTCTATGAATTTCTATACTGGCCTCATTAACTTGCCTTACCAATCTCGCTGAGTGTGGAGGTACATATCTATTATCTTTCCTTAGGAAATTCCTTTCCGCTTCAGCGCAGGCAATCCTCAATTGTTCTATGGACGAAACGAACATGGGAAAAACTATTCTGCCTAAACTTTCCTTCAAATTACTCTTAGCTATTCTCACCAGTTCAAATTCACTTATAGGATGTTCTATTTTTGAGCACAATAAGTTGAAAGAATGAAAAAAACCATCTACTGACTCCCCAGGTTGTTGTTTTCTATCCAACAGGTTTCTGGTGGCCTCTAAATATGATTTCGGTGTTCTATATCGACTAAACAAGGCTTGCTTCAATTGTTCCCAAGTTCCTATCTTCCCACTCTTTAACTGCAACCAGTACCATTCTTGTGCTTCACCAGAAACTAACAAGTGAAAATCGCGTAATACTTCTGCCCATGACAACTGGTTGCTCCACTGGAGGTGCTCAATTCGAAAAACGAAATCTTCCACAGATAATTTATTTTGATTTCCGTCAAAGTTTACACCAAATTTCTCCACTCTGCATCTTCTATTTTCGATTATTGGCCAATTTCCCAATGGTTGTACTGGCTGCGGTGTATTGCGAGTTCTGGTGTTGCCCGTATCTACACTAGGTTGTGATCCAGACTGAACATTCCTATCCGGTCTATGATTATATTCACTATCCGGCCTACAACCACTCGATTGCCTCTCCGCGGCTAAATTTCTCACGCTATCATTTATTTGTGAAATCATTTCATACACTCGTGTCATTTCTTTGGCCACTGTCTCCTTAACCATCGTATTTAGGCTTTGTTGTACTCCTTCGACACTTTGTGTCACCATATTACGCACAGAGGGATCTAATTCCTCATGGATATTTGTATTCGGTTCTACTTGTGGCCTAACATTTTGTGGATTTTGGCTTCCATTCCTATTCGAGGCATTTATAGTGCCTGACATATCCCATATTCTCGAATCCTCCATTTGTTGCGTAGCCATTCTTAAGCCCGTCCTGTCTTTTCGATATTTTCGATCTACTGGATGTGGTGCTTTAAAATGATCAAAAGAACTGGGTCGAGTTCTCTTCTGCCTTGTACTTCTCCTGACTTCACTCATTCATATAATTTCTTATCTATAATTTTGAATCAAATTTTTTTTTGTTATTCCACAACTATAATTCTATTTTTTTGTTACTTTCAGTACTTAGCTATGGGGATTCATCCTTCACGGTAAACTGGTTTGTGTGTTATGTTATTTCATAATCGTGTAAGTTACATATTTCTTACAGTGTTCCCTTACGGGATTTGTGCAGACATGGATCTTGCCATCATATTACATTCTAAATCTGGTAATTCGTTTCCACCCGTGGCATTTCTTCATACTATCGTTGTCAAGAAAAGATCTCACGATTTTTTTCTTTCCAGATATTCAAAACACTGTCCCGGGACTTAAGTCCTGAGAGGATATTGTAATACCTGCATTTTGGAAACTGTTATACTATTTGGGTATGACATTCCTTAATAGGCATCATACAATACTAAACGCTGTCACACTTGAACTAACGGATATTGCACTTATCCTATGGTAAATGGTGAGATATAGTCTTCAGTTCAGCAATTTCCTCTACTCATTAGGCACATTATCAAAATACTTATTTCAAAATTTTGGTTGCATTCTCTTCCGGTCCTCGCTAAAATCGGACTATTCCCAAAAGTTTATTGTAATTATCTTTTGTTTTCTTATTGCGTGGCTTGCTGTCATTCCACGCCCGAATTAGGCCTGCATCCTTAATTTAGGATACTCGATCCTGTATCATTTGCTTGGGCGCCATCTGTTATGGTTCTTTCCTGTGAAGGATTTGGGACGAGCTGTTCGGCTGCTCAGTGCAACTCAGGTAGAGTTCCAACCCACTCAGTCCCCTTTGAACCTGAACAAAAAAGAAGGTATCACTTTACTCAAAATCACAAACCCCTTTCTGCACTAGAGACTTGGTGAATCTGTCTCACACTGGCCCTCCCAACCTAGGCTTATAACATCCGTCCAATTTTTATTACAAAGCCCCACAACATTTTTACAAACACATACCAGTTTAGTTTACCTTACGGAATCATCCCCAAAATTGACGACACTTAGTGTTCCATATTTGGCGCTAGAACGCTGATATTTTTATATTTAAGTATACTAAAAATACAACATTAAATTGACAAACCAAAAAATTATTTATGTTACACTGAAAAAAACTCAGAGACCTACAAAGTCCAAAGGTTTGCCCATTTGTTGGCCGTAAATCTAACGAAAAATTTCCTGCCTAAAAGAGCTCACTTAGGCTAGTAATGAGATGGTTCATTCGTACCAAAAATTCCTATTTAAAAACAAATGACTTTGTATATCTCATCTAACATTTTTTTTTTACCTATACTAACGATACAAATACATAACCTACTCTTAAAACTTAAAATTAGATATATTAAAATTCAATCCTTAAACCTAACTTAGATTATCTCCTTCTCTCCTTTTTGATACGTGTGATTTTGTTTTGGTTCTTTAGTTTCAGTATATTTTTTTTATCTGAATATCAGAAGGTACTTTTACTATTAATTTTATTGTCCTTAACTTTTTCCGTCTTCTCTCAGGACCTGTTTCACTTCTTCAATTCTTTACAACTCTGATTTTGAGGTATGTTATTAAATCATTAGCGAGTACTTTAAGGTTTTAAAAATATTATCTTCTTACTACACCATTATACTTATTCATTTTGGGGCCTGTAGTCCTTTTTCGGCTATGGTGGAACTTTTATTCGGATCTTCGGGTATCAACCACCATCCACAAAAATGAAGCCCCTCGGTCAGTCTTAGTGCAAGACTTCTTAGGTAGTCTCTTGGTGCGGTGTGATTTGTTTAAGAGTGTGCTTTATCTCCCAGCCCTGTGTGTCTTATTTCCTGGGTAACGACTCTGTGGTCACTCGCTCACTCAGGCAATCTTCATCTAAAAACACCTTTACATTAAACATCTAATTTCCTTATTCCTATTACCACTTACTTAACAAATCTTTAATATATCCTTTTACTTTTATTTTCAGCACACACATCCAGATATCTTCCAGCGAGGCCAGAAATTTAAACTAAATTTTAATATATCATATATCATATTTTATTTAATAAACAAATTAATTTATTCCACACTCACATTTAAACTTCTATTATTTTTAGCAAAAAAAATTTTGTACTTCTTTAAGCACTACTAAATTATTGAACACCGCACGATTCTTTGCACAACTGACTCAACCTTCTCCTTGGTTAAGGTTTTTTTTTTCTTTTATACCCCATATCTCTTCCCAAGCTAAAACGCCATATTTTTACATACTTGTCTCTTGAGTCATTGCGCCAAAATCACCCTATTTGCACTCTCAACCTAAAATTCTTTGCATAAAATTAAAATGGAGTTTACCCTTTCATATTCGAAAATTCTCATCTTTTTTCATACCCCTTTCCTGCCTTACTGCCATCTATTTTCATTACTACTCTTTATGTTACATTTTTTTGTTCTCTTCCATGCGTTCCCTTAAATGGTCATTGCATTTAGTAAGTTACTTTTTATATTAACCCACTCTCTTGCAGGCACGAATAATCATAGTTGGCAAGTCTAGCAAGCGAGAAGTAACTTTGAACGCTCAAGCCGACTATTTTTATTACAGACTATCAACACAAGAATTTAATTGTTAACTACATTTGAAAAGCTGAGAACATTCACAGCCCTGGGGTGCAGATCCAACTTACCACCCCCAAATAAGGGTTTATGCCCACCAGTGGATTCCTCTATATACCGCTCATCTTTAACAATTTCCCCCTTTTCTGAACTGTGGCCACCCCCTTTTTCCCGCAAACACGGATTACTCCCGTGTCTCAGACGAAGACCACTCTCCCCATCCGGAAGCCCCCATGGAAGTTCATGCAACAAAATAAAATAATTGGGTCATTTTAGTTTTCCATATATTATTTTTCGTTCAAAATTATTTTTGTATTTTTATTTTTAGTTTCTTAAATGTGAATTAAAGACCTCATTTAAAACTGGAAAATAATTACGATTTGTTAATTTTTGTAAAAGTTTCATGACATTTATTGTCTTTGCAATTTTAGTTGCTTTAGTTTTGGTCACCAGTGTATTTCATATCACTCATACGTAGAATTTTCATAAAAAACGGTAGGAGTCCACGGAACTAGATAAGGAACTAGTTCGTTCGATCGAACTAGATTGGAACAACTCTACTAGACAGTACCGTACCCGCTACTTCGAAAAGTCCACCTTAAAATTTTTGATTTGTTTCGTTAGGTTTTTTAGTACTCAAATTTGTTCAGTTTGAGAAAACATTTATTATCAACACTTCATACATTTTACTAAGTTTTTAGACTTTTAAGATTTAATATATTATTTAAGGTTTTTCCTTTTCGGGAAGAATAATAGGAAAATGTTTATCTCTTACACCAAAAAGTCTTCAAAATCTTTCATTTGAAGTTTACCGCGGAGAATGTTAGTCAAACCACTGCACAATGTATTCACGTCTAATTTTCTTCCTATGTAAACCATCCATATCAAATATCAGAACTCCACCTCTATCCTAAGACCCAATTCCAAATTAATTACAAAACATTTTGTGAAGTTATACGTCGGATGTCCATCCATTCCATCTCAATCCCAACACAAAACGACACACTTTGTGGCATTTTGCACTTGTACGCATTTCCAAAGCCAGCTCCTTGTATAAACTAAAGACACCAACAGTGACCTTAATATCAAATTACAGCATTTCAGCTTTATCCCTTCACTCAATGCACCTTTCGTACGCTCATGGTATCGATTTCCAAAACCACTCCATATCTCAATTCCAGATAATAACAGAGACTTCGAATTCATCAAATCAAATTTCGGTATTCCAGCCATATCTCTTCAATCAATACCAAATTTAGTATCATTTAGTATAATTACAGGGTAAGATGAAAAAACAGCAACCAACTTCAGACTGTTGTCATTTCAAAGCCACTCGCTTGACAGCTGTTAAAATTATTCCAGTGACAGCTCATTATATTGTTTACAAGCGTACAAAAGCATTTTGGTGAGAATTTTCCAGAAAAAAATTATTCGTGATGGAATTCAAGTGTGATAGTGGCTGGAAAACCACAAGGGCCTCACATCGTTAGAGCACTCCAGCATTTAAATGTGAATAAATCTTTTATGTCTCGTACCATCGCTCGTTACTGTGATACTGGTAGCGTAGCCCGACGTCAAGGAAGCGGAAGTGGACGGAAGAAAATGGAAAATGGATAGGGAGCTGAACATATCGCAATATTCCATTCGGCAAATATTGAAAAATGAACTCGGGGTAAAGTCATTGAAATTCCAGAAAGTGCAAGAACATACACCGCAGCGGAAAAAAATTGACTCAAAAGAGCTAAAGAGTTGCTTCTCTTGGCCGAAAGAGGTGAACTGTCGAATTTGGTTTTCCTTGATGAGAAAACATTCGCTGTCCAGCAGTTTGTAAACAAACAAAACGATCTTGTTTACTTGGCAGAAAGGTCAGCTGAAAATGTGCACCTTCGGGCACCAGAACTCAAGTGCCGGCCATGGTGATGGTGTGGGCGCTCTCCGTTCGTATTAATCGATCGTGGTATCAGAATAAATGCCGAATATTATCGCGAAAGTATTCTGGAGGGTGTACTAAAGCCTTGGGCACACAAACATTTTGGCCGTAGACCTTGGACATTCCAACAGGACTCAGCACACGCCACCCAAGAATGGTTGCAAAATGAGGTTCCTCGCTTCATTTCCAGCCTACAATGGCCACCAAAATCTTCGGATACCAATCCGTTGGACTATTGTGTCTGGAATATTTTGAAGAAAAAAAATACCAAAGTGTCGATCACCTCAAGCAAACGCTTCGCCGGGAATTGACCTAAAATACCGCAGAGCAACATGACATGTGACGGTTTCATTGGTCGTTTGAAGGCCATAATTCGTGCCAAAGGTGGCAAATTTTAAACTTATTCTAAGTTTAGATTTGTTCAAAATGTGATGCTATTTCCGACATTTTTTGCTTTCATTCAATAAAATTAAAAAAAAATGTAAAAATTATGGCGTTTGACTTTGTTGAGGTTTTTTTATCTTATCCTGTATATTGATTTCCAATAAGCTAAAAAATAATGAGTCAAGTTATTCAGGGCTGTCACAGAAACCATGTCGGTTTAGATTATTGTCGTTTTTGTAAACCAATGTCGGTTTCATTTGGTGTCATGAAACCAAGTTGGTTTTGTCAATTTCGAATGTATATAAAACCAATGTTCGAAACAGCTGATGTTGCTTACACGTGTTGTTTGTTTATTTGAAATTGAAATATCAGTAAAAGTAAAGTAAATAAAAAAGGAATAAGTCGTAAGTAAGTAAGGAATAAGTAAGATGGCATCAGCAGTGGTAGTTTTTGTGTTGTTGGTCGAAGAACGCTCAGAAAAGGTGACGAGAAAAGCTCTTAGAGATTTCAGCAACCCACTGGAGTTGCCGGAGATAACGTAAGTAAATTTTTTTATTGTGAACTTACTCATAAAGCTGCATTGCAGATTTATGGTTTATGGTCCTTTAAAAATTCTTAAAAAAATCCTTAAAAAGTCCACGTTTATGGTCCTTAAAATATCTTTTAAAAAATCCTTAAAAAGTCCACGTTTATGGTCCTTAAAATATCTTTTAAAAAATCTTTAAAAAATCCACGTCTATGGTCCTTAAAATATATTTTAAAAAATCTTTAAAAAATCCACGTTTATAGTCCTTCACAAAATCTTTAAAAAATCCACGTTTATAGTCCTTTAAAAAATCTTTAAAAATTCTTTAAAAAATCCACTTCTATAGTCCTTTAAAAATTCTTAAAAAATCCACGTCTATAGTCCTTTAAAAATTCTTTAAAAAGATCCACGTTTATATTCCTTTAAAAATTCTTTAAAAAAATCCACGTTTATATTTCTTTAAAATTTCTTTGAAAAAATTCACGTTTATATTCCTTTAAAAATTCTTTAAAAAAACCACGTTTATAGTCCTTTAAAAATTCTTTAAAAAAATCCACGTTTACCAAAAAATTCTTTAAAAAATCCACGTTTATGGTCCTTTAAATATCCTTTAAAAATTCTTTAAAAAATCCAAGTTTCTAGTCCTTTAAAAATTATTTAAAAAATCCACATTTTTAGTCCTTTGAATATCCTTTAAAATTGTTTAAAAAATCCAAAGCAAATGAAAAGTGACAGCTCTAAGCAACTTGGTTTATTTCCAAAAACAAAACCAATAACATTGGCTTCTATGACAACCAAAACCGATAAAATTCTAATTCGAAAATAAAACCGATAACATTGATTTTCATGACACCAAATCATTTTTTCTTGTCGTATTTAAAACCAATAGTGACAAAATTGGTTTCTATGACAGCCCCGATTGGGAACAGCGGTACAGAGTTAGCACGATAAACTAAAAAATCTGAGGCTGTTGGTCCAAATCTTCGAAACTAAAAATAAGAAAATTCGACATTAAAAAAAGTGAATTCGAAAAGTGCTAACAATTAACACCACGTAATAAAATACGTCCCAAACTTTCACCTCGACAGTTAAAGGTTTCTTCCAACTTGTTTGAAATAAAACTCCACATAATTTTTTTTTTTGGTATACATTGTTATTTTTCTTTATTACTTTTAATTTGATTTGTAATATACTATTATACACCTAAATTTCAAAAAACAAACAAAAAATATTCTCTTTGCATTTTATTGCTCATTTTTAATTGGTTTGTTTTCATTACGGTTACAATTGAAAGAACAGTTATTTATTTTTTCTGTTTAATATTTGTTAGTAAATTAATTAAAGTTAATACATAATACACTTTATACAATTGCATATCTACAAAACCTTGTTGTTTTTTTTAGGAAAGACACACACGTAGTACCCAATGATAGATTTCATTCTTTGTCGAAGACATTTTTTTTTTGCAATTAAAATCGAGATAAAAACACAAAACTTATTTCGATTTTGTTTGTAATGAGCACTAAAATGGATTGTTTTTTTTTTGTTATTTTGGAATTGTAATTTCTTGAGATCTAGAATCTAAAATCTAGATCTAGAATAAATTGTAGTTTTCTCTTTTTGTTAATTTAACGTCACACAGGAGACCGAAATCATTATTGTTTTCATTTATCTAATTTAATTTAATTTAAATTTATTAATTTGCATTTAAAGCATTTCACTCGAAAAGAACATTTTTTTGTTTTGTTTTAGTGATGAATATGATGAGTTTGGAATTATAC